TAACATATTAGAATGCAATACTGTTAGATTTATATTTTCTACTAAATATATTATGATTTATAAATATAATTTTTAAAATTATAATTATAAGCTATCATAACTTTGAACTGATTTTCTAACTAATACATTGAGTACTTAAAACTACTATATTGGGTTGGGAATGTGGCTTAGTAGTAGAGTACTTGCCTAGCATCCACAAAGCCCTGGGTTTGATTCCTCAGTACCACATAAACAGAAAAAGCCAGAAATGGTGCTGTGGCTCACAGGGTAGAGTGCTAGCCTTGAGCAGAAGCAGCTCAGGGACAGTATCCAGGCCCTGAGTTCAAGCCCCAAGACTGGCGAAATAAATAAATAAAAAATAAAACTACTATATTGTTTGGAGTTCAATTGACAACAATTTTTAAATGGTTAGATTAGATAATTTATATGTTTCCATAATGCCTTTGGTGTTGTTTTAGTCACAGCGCTCAAAATGTTACTTTTAATATTGATTTATAGATTTGTTATCCTCACTGGAATTGGAATTTCTTGAGATAAGAATTTCTTTATCACTCTTACTTTCACTGTGGTTAGTGTTGTGCTATCACATGCATGTTTAGTGTTTCAACTGAAAGTAAATTGAACAGACTTAGATGACTTTAAATATAATTAATTTCAAAGGACAGTATAAAACTCCAAGACTGCTCAGCATTATGTGAAGAGGAAGAAGAGGAAGATGAAGGTGAAGCTGCAGACATGGAAGGTATTCTAGACTTGCTTTAATCCCATGAGAATATTGATTCTCTTATAATTGGTGATTATATGGAATAGGATTCAGTTACAATGAGATTTAAATTTTTAACATTTAGCAGCCTAGAGGATATTTTGTTTAAATTTCATCTGGGCAAAATTTATTTTGATCTCTAATTTTGACTGTTTTATTTTATTTAGAACATAATCTTGTCAGCATTGTTTCTACTGGGACAAAATCACCAGGACTATGTCTTTGAAGTCTTTAGCTGTTTTTATTTTTCTGCCCAACTGTTAAATGTTGCTATATCTTAAGATTTCTCCCTTTTCATTCCTCTTTCCTTCATCTATCTTCCTCCTTTACTCTTTTTTCCCCTCCCCTCCCTTTCCCTTTCCTTCTTATTCTTTTTCTCTTCTCCTCCCCCACCCCTACTTTTTGTTTTGTTTTCTTTCTTGGCAATGAAGAGGAACCAGCATAGGAGATAATGAGGAAGTAGCCAGTGAGGTAGGAGGAAAGCCAGGATATAATACCTTAAAAGCAAAGGAAAGAAAATCCTCCAAGGGCACAGGAGTAAATCATGCCTACTAAAGGTCTATTAGAATGGTGTCTACAAAAATAAAAATGGGGCATTTACCATTGGCTGCTGTCAAATGGAAGTTGCTGATAAACTTAAGTGACTAAACTACCTTTTATGTAAGGCTCCCTCTTATCTGCATTTCTACTTTCTATGGTTTCAGTTGCTTATGGTCAATTATAGACTGAAAAATATAGCCTGGAAAATTTGAGAAATATGATAATTACGTTTTAAATTACATGGCATCATGAGTAACGTGATAAAATTTCATGCTTGTTAGGATGCTCATCTCATTCCTCACGCTGTTCCATCCATATTGTGAAATATCCCTTGTGTAGTATACTGATGCTATAAATGCTACCTGCCTGATAGTCCTTTAGTAGCTGTCTCAGTTACATGACTGGTTGGTATTAGTGCTTAAGTCAAGCTAGCCCTTATTTTACTGTTAATGGCCCCTAAACACAAAAGTAGTGATGCTGGTAATTTGAACATGTCAAAGAAAACCTATAGAGTGTAAAGGTGAAAGCTCTTGACTTGATAAGGAAAATCTTATATTGAAGTTACTAATCTACAGTGAGCAGATCTTTTGTTCATGAAATTATGAAGAAGAAAGTTCATGCTGATTTTTCTGATACATGTCAGGATACAAAAGATAAGTCCACATAGGTATTAGCTGTTTAGTTAATCTGGAAAAAACATTATAGGATACTATATCATTTGTGGTTTCAGGTATCAACTGAGGGTCTTGAAATGTATCCTCTTGAAATTAATAAGCCATTGCTTATATAAATAGCCTTGAAAACTTATGCTGCCCAGTCACTAGGAGTCTATGCCACAGTATTATTCAATTGATATTTCAGATAGACGGTAGTCCAGACCAGGCAGTCAGCATGCCTACTTTCTCTGGAGTTTGTCATGTAAAGAATCTGCTTTCTGCTTTGGAAGTGTGGAATTAACTCACTAATATTTGTTCAGTGTTTTCATTTAGAACTAAAGCAAGCCAGATGCTAGTAACTTATAATCTGTAATCCCTGCTACTCAGGAAACTTGAGATCTGAGCATTGCAGTTTGAGTCCAACCTAGGCCTGAAAGATTGTGAGATTCTTATCTCCAGTTAACCACCAAAAGCCAGAAATAGAGCCGTGGCTCACTTGTGGTAGAGTATACTAGTCAAGCACTAAGGTACAGTGTTTAAGCCCCTGAGTTCAAGCTCAGGGCCAGAACACACATACACACACCCACAACAAAAACCCAACTTCCCCCCATGTTTGGATAATACACTGGAGTAATATACCATTTGTTAAGGAGCTTTCTTGAGTTTGATTGATCTTTATTCCTTTATAACAGAATATGAAGAAAGAGGACTGCTGGAAACAGATGAGGTTTGTAAATTTGGAGGTTTAATGTGAATGAGTGAACATGGGGATTAGCATTCTTTAAATAACATTCATCTTTCAAAGAATTTTTATTTGGTTATAACAACTAAAATTTAAGCATTGAATTTAAAGTTCATTTTTAATAAAATACAACTAAAAGTGGGAAAAAGGGTTTCTGTAATTTTGTATTCATGCTTTTTTAATGGCTAGTCATCTTTCTCCATTATTATATGCCAGGCTACCCTAGACACAAGAAAAATAGTAGAAGCCTGTAAAGTTAAAGCTGATGCTGGAGGTGAAGATGCAATCTTGCAAACAAGAACTTATGATTTATACATCACTTATGATAAATATTACCAGACTCCACGATTATGGTTGTTTGGCTACGATGAGGTAATAAATAAATAAAAATATCTTTCTATGTAAGCCTTTTAAATTGTGTCATTTTATTTCTTTGATAGGTCTATAGTATATATGATCTTTCAGATATTAGAAGTAATTTGTCTTAGTTTATAATTAATATTTATTTTGAATAAATTATGAGTTATTCAGTGGGACAATCCTGAGAAACATGAATGACCTATTTCCGTCATGTTCAAAAGATGAGAGAAATTGAATTCTATAGGTAGTATTAGATAGAGTTTGGGATTATGTTTGTTGGCTATATCACATATTTTTCCTTAAGAATTTTTTAATATACTTAAATTAGAGGATAATTGCAATAATCTTAATTTGTTTAATTACAGTATATAACTGTAAATGAGAAACCCGAAAATAGATGAATTCTTACGGTTTTAAATGTTTAGCCCCAGCTTTTCTTTTTGTGGATCTTTTTAGATTAGAAGCTGGCTAATGTACCCCAGTACAGAGCCATTATTTCCTCCACCACACCTCCATTCTTTGATCTAAATAAATTGTAGCCTTCCCCTCAATGTGGTAATTCTGACATTCTAAATTGCAAGTGAACTGAGATAAGAGGATAAATAGAAACAAGAAATTTAAGGTAAAAATTTTAAAAATAATTTCAAAGTACTTTTGTATTTTAGCAACGGCAGCCTTTAACAGTTGATCACATGTATGAAGACATCAGTCAAGATCATGTCAAGAAAACAGTGACCATTGAAAATCACCCTCATCTCCCACCTCCTCCCATGTGTTCAGTTCACCCATGCAGGTCTGTGTGTCTATTGGGAAGAGGGAGAGAGTGTGATTATGTATGTGTGTGTGTATGTTCCATGAGTTTATTATTTAGGAATCTGTAAACATAGCACCCAAATGGGAAAATTTATTTTATAAGCAAATAAAGTTCTCTTTTTTTCTTTTTCTTTTTTTGAAATGTTCTTATGCTTAGTTAAATATAGAAGAGAAAGAATCTGAGTAATTTAAGTTTAAGGCACTAAGAATATTTCTGTTTTCTGTGGTTAGTTACAGAGTTTTTTTGTGACTGTGAGGTATAAAGTTAACCTCCAGTTTCTGCACTCCTTAATTCGTTTAAGTATTCAGACTTACCTCATGTAGTGATTTTGTTTGTTTTTGATGGTACTGCTAAGGATTGAACCCAGGGCCTTTCTCATGTTAGGCAAGTGCTGCACAAACTCAGTTATACCCTACCCCTTTTGTTTGTATTTTGTTCTGGAGTTACTGTCTTGCTAAATTTGCCTGGTTTGCCCTATATTCAAGGTCCTTCTGTCTCTATATCCTCATTAGTTGGGATTACAGGTTTGTGTGACCATATTCAGTACTGTTTTATTATTTGGCATTTTCTTAGTATTAATATATTTTCACAGGGCCAACCAAATAAAGTGAAGCTGTATGCTTTGTTTGTTCAGAATTTTTCTTTTAAAAAAGCTGCATGCTAATTTCTTTGGTTTGGCTGTTTCTAACAATTTGAATTTCTATTTTTAAGAAAATGCTAATTTTCTTTGAACAAATTAGATGAGACTTTTAGGTTCCTCCTCGCTACTATTTTAGGTTTATATTGTTCTTTGTTTTTAGAAAAACAACAATACTTTGTAGGCATGGTAATACATACACATCTGTAATCCTAACACTAGAGTTTGAGGCAGGATGATCTCAAAGCTGTAGATAGCCTGGGCAATATATAGTGAGACCTATCTCAGAGAAAACTGAAAAAATGAACAAATAAAAAAGTTTAGCATTATCTTCTCATTTTCTGCATGCTCTTTATTTGTAAATTTTATTCCATAAGAAGACTACTTTTCTAGTTTATTTCTTTCAAGCACTTTAATATTCCTAATTGTGAAATTTATTAGGAGTCATTAGGATTTTTTGTTTGTTTTGTTTTTTCCTTCTGCTTTTCTCATGTCTCCACTTTCACATTTCAGGTCAGACATAGAGTGTAGGCTGAGGCATATGTGGGTCAGTTACTGTGTCTCCTGTTTCTGCACAGTCATTATAAGAATTCAGCCTGTGAAAAAGGCCAAGAGGCCTAGTTTCAATTTTAAATTATCTGCAAGGTTTTCTTTTTTTGAGAATTAATCTGTTGGTTTCTGTTAAGATTTAATATTTTAAGATAATGCTTGTAGAAGAGAGGTGTGTCTCTGAGGTGTAAATTTTCTTCAGAAAAGAGATAAATGGTCATTATTGACAAATGATTACAAAATGGGATATAAATGTAGCAGAAAAGCTGAGGGCTTATAAAGTAAAACGAGAATATTTTCAGTCTTTCCATTTGCTTCCTCAGACTGCTAATACATGTGCCAATCGATACAGTACTGTTGTCTTCTGAGTGATTACCTCTATTATGAAGAATTGCTCATAAAACTGAACTGACATTATTTAAACCAAAGGATGTATGAAAGACTTTATTTTGTATGTTGTATATTACTGTTTTTCTTAGCTTTATATGACTCAGATTAGTTTATATGACTTGGCTGTTATGCTCTGTGGCAAAGGAGAGACTTATTGGTGCATTGGATAGGACAAAAACTTCATAATCTGATAAGTTTATAGTACTCAATAAGACCAAATAAAATGTGTGTGTGTGTGTGTGTGTGTGTGTGTGTGTGTGTGTGTGTGTGTGTGTGCGTGCGTGCTGGTAGTGGGGCTTGAACTCAGAGCCTGGGGCACAAATGAAAATGTACTTTTTCTACTTTGATTTAATTGAGCTAGGCTGATAACATATGTCCTTTGCTTTTAGGCATGCTGAAGTGATGAAGAAAATCATTGAGACTGTTGCAGAAGGAGGGGGAGAGCTTGGTGTTCATATGTATCCTTATGTGTGTATAATTGGTAGAAAAATGGCTACTGTGAATATTGTTTTAAAAATTTAATATAACCTTCAAGACACAGTACTTGTGAAATTTTTTTAAACCTAGTAAAGTTATATGGTGAAAGGCCAGCCAAGTTCAGTTGATTAGAACTATTATCCTTGTTACAGAGGTAACCTATTGAGTATCTTTTTAAAAAATATATATTTTACAGTTCTTACCAAAAATGTGGTTTCCTGTCAGGTAAAACTAATGTTAGGTTGTGTCAATCTGAGATCTCTCTGATGCAAAGAATTCTGTTTGAACAAATAGATTAATTAAAACAAAGTACAGGGAATGCTCTGTAACAGATTCTGTGGCAGGTACATATATAACCTAGATGCAGTCTATTATGAGGGATTTTCATTTTATTTTTCCTGTTTGTGCTAATGTTTTCATACTTTTATCCTGCCTTACTTTAAATTCTCACAAGTAATAGCAAACTCAAGTGCAATAAAGGGGCAAAGTAAATGAGTAAATTTTATATTTGCTTAAATAGGGATAATTTTGTTTTCATAATATCAAAGTAATTGTGTCTATTTGAAGTTTGCATGAAGAAGTATAAGCTCAAATCTTGGATTAAGTGGGCAAGCAGTCTTTAAGGCATAAGGAGCTTGTTAGATAGAAATTTTTTGTCATAGGCCTTTTCTGATATATTTTTAATATATGGATAATTGTATGGATTAAAAAGCTCTTTACAGATCTTGTTTTCCTTAGCTAAATACTTTCAGGTATCTTCTAATTTTTTTGAAATTTGTACAAGCTGTCATTCCAACAATAGAATATGACTATACAAGACATTTTACAATGTAATGAAGAGAATATAGAGTCTATCATGATTATTGGTTCTGATTTTTAAAGAATTAACCCACAGATGTGACCGTTGACCATATTTACCAATATCTACAATTTCTCTAATAAAGGGACTTATGTGTTTATGCATTAAATAAAAAGTTCTAGCAGCCTTATTTGTTTAATAATAAAAACGAGTGTGAAGACATAGTCTTTTTCTTACTTCTCATCAGAAATTTATAGTAAAATGTTTTCCTAACAATTACTTAATTGGAGATATATCTTTAAGAATCATGACAGTGTATTTTGTGTTAATATTTATGGAGAGATTATTAAATATGTAGCAGTGTCAGAACTAGTACTAGAAAATACTGTAGACCTAGACTCTTCATCCCTCTTGTTTGAGTTTTGTTCCTCTTCTCCCTTTCTCACACTCTTCCAGACTCCTATCTTCTGGAAATATTTGAACTACTTACTATATGCCAGGAAATATTGTAGGTACTATCACTTCTTTTCTGATTTATTAAGTTGATACCACCAAAGTTTTATTTTACTTACGATCTAAGACTATTTTTCCTATCATTTTCTGGTAGAATACTAGAATTTGGAGGGATTTGGGGCCTGGTGCTGGTGGCTCTTGCCTGTAATCCTAGTCTCTAGGAAGCTGACACCTGAGGATCACAGTTCAAGCCAGCCCAGAGAAGGAAAGCCTGTAAGACTCTGATCTTCAATTAACTACAGAAAAGCCAGAAATGGAGCTGTGGCTGAAAAATGATAAAGAGTGCTAGCATTGAGCACAAAAGCTGAAGGATAGCACTCAGGCCCTGAGTTCAAGCCCCAGAAACAGTACAAAATCAAAAAGAATTTGAAGGGTTCTGGGTATAAAGTATTCTCTGGAACAATACACTTTAAGGACTTGACAAAAAGCCTGAATTTTTAAAAAAAAGTTATATCTTTAGGTACTTATACAAAGGAGTTGCCATTTAACAAACCAGTTAAAAATCAAAATATATCTTGATCAATGTCACCTCTTTCAACATTCTCACTCATCCCTCCTCTCTACATCCTTCCTTCCCTCTTTTAGTTTTGTAGGATATTTAGTTTTGTTGGATTATTGTCTGTTTCCCCCCTCTTCTCCTTCATTTTTCTACCCCTTACTCTTTGACCCCCACCCCACCCCCTTCCAAGTACTCACTTCGAGGTGTTTTATTTTGCTGAACTTTGATTTTGGCTTTCTGAGGAGTTGCACTATATGAGATCTCCCTTAAACCTACTATATTTTAGTTACTGTAGTTAGGTACACTTGCATACCACCTACATAGGAGTTTATAAGCTAAATCTAGCTTCTGCATATTAGGGAAAACATGGAGCCTTTGTCTCTCTGGGCCTGACTTACTTCACTTAATGTATTGTTTTCCAAGTCTTTATTTCTTTACAAATCGTACAATATCATTCTAATGCATAAGTAAAATTCCATTGTGTGTATATACCACATTTTCTTGATCCATTCGTCCATTGAGGGGCATCTAGGCTAATTCCATACCTTGGCAATAGTGAATAGTGCTGCAATAAAAATGGTTGTGTTGGTGTCTTTAGCCTGGCTTGTAATCTTTTGGGTAAGTGCCCAGGAGTGCACTTGCTAGATCATAGGGTAGTTCTGTGTTTAATTTTTTGAAGAACCTCCACGCTGACTTTTAATTCTCTTTAAAATTTCTATATTGCTTGTCATCTCTATTCTAATCTGCACAGAGGGATGTGGTTAATCTTACTTCAAGAGACCTTTGTTTCTTTTCCTTAATTATACAATATTCACTTTACTTTTCATGCTTATTTTTTTTCCCTTTTCAGTCATCCAGTTTGTTTGTAGGGTTAGGGATTGAACTTAGGGTCTTGCACATGCAAAGTAAATGTTTTACCACTTGAGCTAAGCACTCAGCCTTTTGGTTTTGTCAGACAGCTTTTCCTTCTAGCTCAGGTTGGCTTTGAACACATATAGCCCACATTGACCTCAAACTCATGATCTTTTCCTTCCAAGTAGTTTACACTGTAAGTCAATCCTTTGATTACAAGGAAAACTCCATGATGATGATGGTCCAGGTAATGTAGATGTAAATGTAAATGTAATGGAGAAAGATGGACATCATCCTCTAATATACTTCAGTTACCTTATTTGCTCATATAACCAGCAACCATCTTCCTTACTTTCAAAGCTGATTTATTGGAATGTTGTATTTTTGAATGTTTTTAATTTAAATTGATTCTCATATTAGATGTATTGTCAGTTTTTTATTTATCTAAACTACAGAAATCCTCAATTTTTTCTCTTTTTTGGTTAAGTGGCTAGTCATAGCTATCTTAATCATCAGTAGAAAGCATAAATAATATTTAGGGCCAAAGCCTTCTAGATTCAGATATTTTTTTCAGTAGAAATCTTTATTTTTAAAAACATAACTAGAGTATTAAAAGTGTTGTACAGAGGGCCTTCACAAGTCAGGTAATAAGTACATTTCTCTTCTGGACAATGTCACCCTTTGTTCTTTCCATCCCTGCTCACAAGTTGTATAGTTCACTTTCCACATAGTGTATACTGAACATAATGAGAATATTTATTTACCCCTCCTTCCTCCCTTTCTGGAGTCTCCTTTTTACTCCCTCCTAAAATACAAAAAAAAAAAAAATCCTAAAAGCTTAAAAAAACCACCACCAAAAAACCCATTTTAATTTTCTGGAAAGATGTCATAATTTGGCTATTGTGGATAGTGCAAAAATGAACATGATTGTGCAAGTGTGCCTTTACTGTTTCCTGATACGAAATGTTATGGGTAGATACCCAAGAGTGGTATGACTGAGTTATAGGGAAGTTCTAAGTTTGGTTTTTTGAGGAACCTTCAAACTGTCTTCCAGATTGGTTGTGCCAGTTTATATTCCATCAGTAGTGCAGTAGGATAGGGATCCTTCTGCCCCATATCCCCACCAACATAGGTGATTTGAATTGTTGATGTTGGTCAATGTAACAGGGGTAAGATGGAATGTCAGAGTTCTAATTTGTGTTTTCTTTATGGCCTGGTTGTTGAACATATCCTCATGTGTTCATTTATGATTCTTCTGAGAAGTCTCTGACTCCTTTGCTCATTTTTTCATTTGGGTTAATTTTTTTGAGCTCCTTGTATATTTTGGATGTATTGCCAGTGTGTTGCTGGCTCTCCCAGTCTGTTGACTGTCTTTCTAGTTTAGTAACTATTTTTTACTGTGCAGAAAATTTTCATTTTGATCTAGTCTCATTTGTCAATCTTGTATTTTCTGTGTCCTGGGTCTTTGTAAATTTCCTGCCTATGACTTATGTTTCTTCTACTCCCTTATGTAGTATTTTTCAAAATTTCGGTTCTGAT